TTTACTAGTGCTGTCAAACGATTAATCGCGATTAATCACATTCAAAATAAAAGTTTTTTACAAAATATATGTGTATACTGTGTATATTAAATATCAACCCTCTACATTGCGAGTAAATCATTCGCATATGCGACTAAATCTTCACTCTGGCGACTAAATGATGTCTAATATTAGCCAATGGCTAATAAATTCTCAGATTTTACTCGCCAGTGTGTGAGTTGGAGGCTGAGTATATGATTAGCACAGATATATTTTCACTCACAGAACACTCTGACTGAGCGCTTCAGAGTTTCACTCTCCGTCAAGCGATCTGTGATATTTTTCAGTTCATTTGAATGGATGCGCAGCGCACCTGTGTTTGTGTATTTGGCGTAACGTAAGCTCTAGTGTGAAGGCGCACACTCGCCGTCGCTTTCTCTCACACGTGCAAAGAGCGAGAGCGAGAGTCTTACATAACATGCAGTACTTACATAATTGATGCGCTACATGTAAACGATATACTTTGTTGTATTTTGCTGTCAAAATAACGGAGTTCCTTTGGAATTCTTCAGCTTTTAAGAACTGCCGCTTTCTCCGGTAGTGGGCGGAACTGTTTATTATGATGGGGTAGAATCCACAGCTCAGTACTCACTACTCAATACTCATGAGTACTTTTAAATAGGCTACTCTTTTACTCTTACTCAAGTAGTTTTTTGGACAAGTACTTTTACTCTACTCGCACTACATTTTTTGGAAGGTAATGGTACTTTTACTCGAGTATATTTTTTCAGTACTCTTTCCACCACTGATAGTTTCTAGTTAAACACAGGCTCTGAAAGCTGACACATTTGAATGCTTTAACAAAAAAGGCAAGAGATCACGGCTGGATATTCCCAGCATAGTAGTAATGACTGAACAATATTTCCAATGTTTATGGACCACTGTGTCTGATCTCATATCAGTCCTGTACAGCTATAGGCCAGGAACAACAAAAACTATTACAGCCTCAATCCCAACACCATGTATGCTGCCAGTGTAACTTCTCACAGCGTCCGCACTTATTTACTTATTAACCCCTTTACTGTCACCCCCCCTTTGAACATAGACGTGAAAGTGCACTATTCAAACATAAATTGTTATAATTCATGAACGCTTTTGAAAACAGACCTAAGGTTGGTCTCTTTCTAAAGAAGATAATCAGCAGATTATTGCTGAAGTGAAATCATTTCAAAAAATAAATGTATAAATAGAAGTTTAAATTTACTGTAAAGAAAATGTACTGTACTATTTTTATTTTACTTCTATTTAAAAAAATTTTAAATTTATTTTATATAGTTTTAATCCAAAATTGCTATAAAATTAAAGCCATATGTCTAAATAAGTTGTGTTCCAAATTTGAAGTTGATATAAAAACAATTGAGGTTTCTATGCAATTTTGTTTAGGCGTTATACCACAAACAGCCACCGGGTGCCATTCAAACTCCATTGCATTTTGTTGGATGCATTTTTCTGTCACAAATGTTTAAATCTCTCTCTCAATATTACTTCTATCACAAAATAACCAACAAATATGGAATCTTGAGACTCAGACCATTCCAACAATATGTATTTTGTCAAGATTATAAAAAGCTTTGATTCTAAAAGACCGTAATACGTTTTGTAATATGACTCCTCCCACTAAGGGGGATTTAAAGATTTAAAGATCTAAAAAAAGATTTAAAGTACCATTTTCATGGTAATGCAATGTCCCATTTCAAAATGGTTTTCAAGGATGACTTTTAAGGTTTGAATCTTTCAAATTATATATAATTTATGATGATTACTAAACCGTGATAGAGAAAAAGGCAATGAAATAAAGACTTTTTGTGACAAAGGTCAGAACTCCTGTTATGATGTATATGTTTGGAGGTGCACTCTTGTCATAAATTAATCTATTACTGTTCCTACATAATTTTTTAACAACAAACAGTGATCAAATATCTATTTAGGAGTCTTAGACCTTTCCAACATACATAGTTTGTCATGATTAGATTAGGATTTAATTGTAATATATTAAAATAAACTTAGGCGTCCCGCTGGCGAGACGGTGACAGTTAAGGGGTTAAAAGGTTGTTCACAGCGATGCCATAGAAGAACCATTTTTGGTTCCACAAAGAACCATCTCTTTCTTACCTTTTTAATAATCTGAAGAACCTTCTTTCGCCACAAAGAAGCTTTTGTGAAACTGAAAGGTTCTTCAGATGTTAAAGACCATTTAGACAAAAAAGGTTCTTCTGTGGCATCGTGAAGCGCCTTTATTTTTAAGAGTGTATAAATCAGTCATTTTCCTTACCAGTGAAACATTATACCAACAATTTAAATACCATCTTACATATTAATCAATTACCTTTATTTAAAGGGACTGTTCAGCCAAAACTTAAAATTTTGTCATCATTTACTTATCCTCATGCTGATCCAAATCTGTAGGAGTTTCTTTCTTCTGACTTTCCAAGTAATTTTTCCATACTATGGGAGCTACCAGCAACTGTTAAAATATCTTCTTTTGTGTTCAACAGAAGACAAAAAACTCCTGAGGATGAGTAAATGATGAAAATGTTCATTTTTGGGTGAACTATCCCTTTAATGAACACGTGACTAGCATTACACACTCTAAAATAAAGTTACCTAAAATAATATTTGGCCATACTACAGGTTTTGTCAAGAAATAACAATGGTAAACCATCATGAAAATGTCACAATAATAAAGCAGTGCATTTCTTCGTGATATACCTTGATAATCACTGCTGCAGCCTAGAAATCAATCAAACAATGATGCTTACGTATGGACGGGTCTGACATGATCACCATGACGTAGGTGTTGGACGTGAACACGTCGATGAAGGCAGCGAAGTTAGAGTTGCGCACTTCCATGCTCTGGAAAGAGGCGGCCAGTTTACTGTGGGACAGAGAGAAAGGTCAGAATTACCCATGATGCTGTTCAGCACTGAACACCGCATGAATGGAGTGCGACTGACCTGCAGCTCAGCTTGAACTGCTTGATGATGTTACTGATCTTCTCGAAGCGATGAGCATCTCGCTGCTCCTTACACTGATAATGAGAGATCACCTGACAAGACACGAGAGACAGGTCGAATCATATCAGCGATCGCTCAAACCTCTCTGAGACGCATTCCAGACGAAACTAGACACGTGTGAATGCATCTGGGTGTTGAAACCGCATAAACGTGCTTCATATGTGACCCTGCAGCACAAAAGCAGTCTTAAGTCGCTGGGGTATATTTGTAGCAATAGCCAACAATTCATTGTATGGGTCAAAATTATTGATTTTTTTTTTATGCCAAAAATCATTAGGATATTAGGTAAAGATCATGTTCCATGAAGATATTTTGTAAATTTCGTACCGTAAATATATCAAAACTTAATTTTTGATTAGTAACATGCATTGCTAAGAACTTCATTTGAACAACTTTAAAGATGATTTTCTCAATATTTAGATTTTTTTGCACCCTCAGATTCAAGATTTTCAAATAGTTGTATCTCAGCCATATATATTCTCCTATCATAAACCATACATCAATGGAAAGATTATTTATTCAACGTATGTATGTATAATGTATAAATCTCAGTTTCAAAAAAATTGACCCTTATGACTGGTTTTGTGGTCCAGGGTCACAAATGAGGTTTCCTTTGCAAGAAATGGCTATTAATTTTGCTATACTATATTGAAATATCTTTTCTTTTGAAAACAGTCATAAAACCTAACTTACAAGCTTTGGAACAAGTGTTTGTGTGCATGGTGCACACATAGAATGCAATTTTGTTTTCGTCATAAATTGCAGACAAATACATTTAAAACTGAACAAAAATCAAATGGCAAAATAATCACAACATGAGGTCATGACCAAACTGTGCAGCGCTAATCTGCCGTCACGTGTGTAAGCATGGTGTTTCAGTTTGGTACGGACCAGGAAAGTAGCTCTTTCAAAAAGCAAGACTTCGTCTGCCTCAATGATCTGAGCGAAGTTGCGCAGGTTGCACTCGAGCTGCTGTACGTTAGGAATGAGCTGATAGACGATGCTGGACCAGGCCTGCAGACACACACACACACGATACTTAAGTCACTCTTCTGTCTGTCTATTAAAGCTGAGCGGTGCAGAGAAATCAACATGGTCTTACTTTATACAGTGTCTCGTCCCAAATAGACGTTCTGAAGCAGGTGCAGGCCAGCGGGCGAGACAGCCTTTTCAGATCGTCCTCACGCTCTTTAAATATCTAAATCACAAACCAATAATTCATATTGATTAACAGTGTTAATTGTTAATGGCAGTTTCACTGATGACAGTCGACAGGGCTTTTACAAACTCATTTCTGTAATACTGAATTTTAAGGTGGAACATAATTTTCTTACAAAAGATATAATGCATAATGTTCCTAAAAAGGGTTAATAAATACACTAGCAGTCAAAGGCTTTTGAACGGTTTTAGTTTACTGTTTTTTAAAGAAGTCTCTTCTGCTCACCAAGCCTGCATTTATTTGATCCAAAATACAGCAAAAGCAGTAATATTGTGAAATATTTTACTATTTAAAATTTAATTTAACTATTTAATTTCTATTTGAATATATTTTAAAATGTAATTTATTTCTGTGATCAAAGCTGAATTTTCAGCATAATCATTCTAATATGCTGATTTGCTGCTCAAAAAACATTTAGTATTAGTCTTAGTAATATTTAAAACAGTTGAGTACATGTTTTTCAGGTTTCTTTGATGAATAGAAAGATCCAAAGAACAGCATTTATCTGAAATAAAAAGCTTTTGTAACATATATATATATATTATTATAAGTGTTTGATCACCACATTTGAGTGATCATTGCAAAAAATGTGTTATATATATATATATATATATATATATATATATATATTATATATTGTGAGAGTGAGTGTGTGTGTGAGTGTGTGTGAGAGAGAGTGAGTGTGAGTGAGAGAGTGTGTGAGAGTGTGTGTGTGTGTGTGTGTACTGCTGTATAACACAAAGGAAAGCACACCAACAGTCAGTGCTCTATTACAGCGAGGTTAAACTCACCTTCTTCTTCATGGCTGTGCTGGACATTTCCCCGCTCAACTTCACTTTACCACAGTAAATCACTGTACTCCGCCGATCATCAACAACTGCAACGAGACACAACACATCAGCACTCTTTTCACTCGCAGCTTTACTGTGTGAAGTGTCTCAATTAAACGTTGTGTTCCTAAATAGGTCCACTTAACAATAAAGTAATATTTCTTTATAATAATTGCAATGCACATGCAGTTTAGAGCTCAGTCCCTCCTGACCTGAATTATCCATACTAACTATACTTTATGTGAATAAACGGATCAATCAGTCCAGAATTGACTGAGTGCTGAAATCCATTTGAGCTGTAGACATTCTGATTGTTTTATTCTCTTTCACTTTAGTACCATATACAACAAGAGACTAGAAAGTAAACGAGATTGTTGAGGTTTTCCTCGAACTAACTTCCAGCTTTTGGTGTGACAGGTCAATATGATCAGTTTACTTTGGTGTATCATCATCATCACGTGCTCCTGTAACGCTGGACGTCCACACAGCGCAGAATACTTTAGCCCTCGTATTGTTTTCTAATGTGAAACCGAACCAGTTCGTTCCTGTGAAATGTTTGCTATCGCTAATGCTACATGCTAACGTACTTCGTTGGATCCTTTGTTCAACGCGAAGACAATCGTGTATTTGTGTGTGTCTCAAGCGTCCAAATACACTTCGAAGACAGATAGTTAACGTTACTGTGTCTCTGTAAGATTGTGTTTCTGTTTGTCACTTCCCGATGATGACTCTCAGATCTCAGCTAGCAAATAAAGCGATGAAGAGCGCTGCTGGTGTTCCTCTGCTGAAGTTAGCTTAGCTCTACACTAGCGCTTTGCTAAACACGACAGAAGAGTCAAAAACAGTCGATTGCTGTAAATGCAGTTAATGCTGGAATATAATCACATACCTGATTAAACTCCCCATCGATGGTCTTCTTTCTTCTTCTTCTTCTTTTGGAGTTTTATGGCGGTTCAGTCGGTACACCATATATTACTCCTCTTACCCACTTCTTTCTTTCCATCACTGTGCATGTAACCTTCTGACCAAGCAATGTTTTTAGTCCGAGCGCTGCCTTTTGTTGACTACTATCCTTACATATTATCAGTAACTTACCATCCCTCAAATTTTTCGCGCATTCGATCTGTCCAATCGATTCCTTTATAGCTTTGGTAATTTTCAATGGATTGATTACACCAACAGCACCAGATGCAAACTTCAACATTACCTGATATTCTTCCTTCCTTTTTCTTATATTACGCTGCTCCTTATCACTATCAGTTTCTGAGATCTCACTCCAACTCTTCTTTTTCCTTTTTCGTTTTTCCACCACTGACCAGTTTAAATCCCCCCCACCACTACCTTCCCCGCCAAACGCTTCATCTTCCATCTCCGAATCACTTCCGGAAACTACACTACTTCCTTCCATCAACGAACCAGTCACAGCCCAGCGTTGCCAATCAATCCCGCGCCTTCTCCCCATCGATGTTTATATCACTGTTCTCGTATATGGTGACAAAAAGCACGTGACTGACCGCCGCTGTCTCGCGATGACTTGCACAAGCTGCATCACGTGACTCGGAGGTCAGCGCTAGATGGCGCTGTATGCAAAGAAAAGAACAAATGAAGAAAAAGCTAAGTATAAAATGTAGAACACATTTAGGGTTTTCTTTTTCTTTAGCTGCTTTAAGTATATCATTTTTAATTAGCTCTAAACTTGTAGCAAATGTAATAAATCGAATTTTTTTAAAAAATGAAACTTTTTGTTTTGCATAAAAACACTAAAAATAATAATGCGGTAATCAAAAGCAGGTGTTGCATTCTTTGTAACTAACTCTTCATACATTCTGCCCCAAAAGCACTTAACAATAATGCAACTGTAAGATGTTACTGGACTTCTTTTTTGTCTGTTTTTGTTAAGCAGATTCTTCATTGAGTATGACATACGTGAAAAAACTGGTGTTTTTAACAACCGTAAAAAACGAATAAAATTATACAAATGATCAGAACAACACCTTTGCCTCTTCTCATCCCAAAATATCCCTCAAAAACTGAATGAATGAGCGACTGAATGAATGAGCGAATGAATGAATGAATGAATGAATGAACGAATGAATGAATGAGTGAATGAACGAAATAATGAATGAGCGAATGAATGAATGAATGAGCGAATTAATGAATGAGCGAATGAATGAATGCAGAACTTGGAAAACTAGATTTAAACTAGTTTAATGCTATCACTTCCACTATGGTTTAAACGCCACACAACACATGTTAAATTAGGGAAATGTTCATTAACTAAGTTTTCCACCTTTAACAATAATTAAGAAGCACATCATAACTATAATTAAACTATTTTAAATAAAATGAGAAAAAATGCAGAGGTTGAATAATTAAAATTTTGATTTCCTGGAATTCCTGATAACATAAAAAACTATAAGACAAAAATCTCAACGCCAAGAAATACACTTAAATACGCACGGATATTTTCCTCATTTATTTCACATGGCTGTATTTACAGTATGTTACTTTTATGCAGAATTATTATTAATAATTTTTATTTTTTTTCCCATTCTGTCTTCAAGCCTCAGCTGTTTAGGATGTCCTAATTTGCATCCTAAGAAAAACGAAATATCTTAAACTCTCTCCTTAAAATAAAAATAAAAAATCTAAACATAGTACTTTATTACTTTTCATTACTATGTTACAGCAGTTTCTCAGATATGTATTCTCGTCTCCTCTGACTTGTAATCATCATCATCTTCATCATCTTCATCATCAGCATCAGCGGTGTTTCTTCTGAAACCTCTAGCGGCGGTGGGCGGGGCTGACCGCGTGATGACGATGATCCTGCGCTTCCATTGGCTCGTGTCACCCGTGACGTCACGATCATGATTAGAATTGATGATCGGACGTTTTGATTTCATTGTCTAGTGAGGGGATCGGTAATGAAATCTGCTGAATTCGAGGGGTTCGTTGATTTCTCTACAAAAGGTATCTCTCCCGTTTAATCTCCTCGGCAGTGTTGTACGGTTGCGGCGAATGTCATACATTTAAACCAGGGTCGCTTTACGAGCAGAGCAAAATACACACACACACACACACACACACACACAGAGAGAGAGAGAGACACTGACACACACTCACACACACACTGCAATGTTTCTGTTTACATAATCTAACTCTGTTCATGTAATTAAAGGACACTGCAATCTTTTATCTTTGACTACATTCACATTCTGCTTCACACACTGTCATGATCTTTCACTCATTCTGTTTATTTCAATGACAGTACTAAGTTTGGTAACACTTTATTTTAAGGTGTCCTTGTTACACGTTACATATGTACTTACTATCATAACAGCAATAATTACATGCAAGTAACCCAAGACCAAACCCTAACCATATAGTAAGTACATGTAGTTAAATAATATTACTCAGTACGTAAATGTATAATTACACTGTAACAAGCACACCTTAAACTAAAGGGTGACCCTAAGTTTTATTTTCATAACAACAACTGTAATAAACATGGCAGGAACTATGATTCCTGATGATAATGGTTACACTTTATTTTAAGGTGTGCTTGTTACATTGTAACTATACATTTAAGTACTGAGTAATATTAATTAACTACATGTACTTACTATAGGGTTAGGATTAGGATGAGGGTTTGGTTTAGGGTTAGTAATTATGCAAAATTTATTGTTATTATAATAGTGAGTACATGTGATGTGTAACAAGGACGCCTTAAAATAAAGTGTCACCCTTTATTTTAGTATTTCGGACACTTAACGCTTGGGTAGGATGGAAATATTTGTGTTTTTCTAAGTGCTGTTTAAAGCCGAGCTCATGCATGTCTGTGAATGGATACAAAATTGAATGTACTACTGATAATATTAGTAATTTAATGAAGAGCAACGTTTGTGTTCTGTCTTTGTCAGATCTGAGGGGTCTGTCCTGGAGCGAGCGGGCCGTGTGTGTTTCTATCATCCTCCCAAACACAGCGTATAAGTGTCACGATGGCTGGACGCTGGTGTGAATAGACCTGTGTGCGTCTCTGCTGTATGTTGAGATTAATTGCAGCTCAGCCTGATTCCTGGGGTCTCTCAGCACATCCATCAGAGGGATGGAAAAATGGCTGGAAAAGAGGAGCATTCACACTGTGAGTCTGCAGTTCAGTGCATTTCCACTGGAGACATTCACACTGCATAGATGCAAACCCCTCAACTTTAGCTGACAACTCACTTTTTTTAGATCAAAATAGGGCACCAGTGAGATTTGCTTAGATCCAGTGAGAAAGTGTTTTTATTCAGACTGGTCATAACTTTTTATATTCCGTTATGAAAAGGTAGACTGGTCTTATTTGTATTGGAAAAGTAAGACTGATAACCACTTGGCAACTGCTAGTACGTTTTGTATAGTATTTTCTTTACTTTTTACTAAACTATGTCTAAAAAGGGTAACATTTTATGTATTTGAGGTCTGAGATTTGGGAACGGTGAAGAGAGAGAGAGGGCAAACATTTTGCATTTTAGGTCTAATCAGCCAATATTGTCTTAAATAGCCTGCATAGCACTTCATCGTTTATAACATGGGGTTTTGACCAAATATTTTCAATCTTGATTTTTGTAAAATGTTGCAACAAGATGTTATTTAATTATTGTGTGTGTGTGTGTGTGTGAAAAATTACAGTTTTGGAAATATAAGGTAATAAAAAAATATTTTATCAATCTTGATTTTTGTAAAATGTTGCAACAAGATGTTATTTAATTATTGTGTGTGTGTGTGTGTGTGTGTGTGTGTGAAAAATTACAGTTTTGGAAATATAAGGTAATAAAAAAATATTTTTAAAAATACTTAAAGTAACTACAAATGAGCATGTGAAACAAATATCTTTAAAACAAATTCTATGTGGAGCATGCCCCCGGTTCTCACCTTTTTTTCCCCACATACAGCATCAGTGCTGGGGGTTCAGTGCTACAATATAATAGACCCGAACAAAGCAATGGGGTTATTACTCACACTGGGGTTTTATTGTGAATCAAGAAGTGTAACTGATCAACTGTTAGTTACACATAAGTACTGTTGCAGGTTTAATGCTTTAAACTCTATCAGTGGTATCTGACATGTTACAAGTGAATACAATTTTGACTCATCTCTGTATTTCATAGTTTTCAATGAAAATGTGAATAAAATCAAGCAAGTTATGAAGTGTGCCTGGCAGCTGAATGACCTCAATGCTTCGGTTATTTGCTGTACTAAAGCAGTTATATATACTGCTGGAAGATTGTGCCAAATTAGTGAAATAGCTCAGATAACGAGGACTGAAATGCCTGATATCCCCTTACACAGCTGTGGGTGAAACGTTCAAAAAACACATGAAAACAGTTAGATGGAAACCCAGCCACTGTTTCAAGACATTGGACATGATGTTATGATAAGATGAGACTAGTGAGACAAAATTGGAAACTGTCAGTATAACATTCATCATCCCATCAACTACATGCTCAAATAATATATAGGTTTTTACTGAATCATTTAACACAAATGCAGACATTATGCCACAGATGATAATATGGCTTTGCCTGTTGCAATAGGAAGTTCTTAACTGTTTAGCAGCGTTATTTCATTCTTTGCATGAGGTTCTCCTGTCTTGCAGATGAACCTGCGGTCTGTATTCACCGCCGAGCAGCAGCGGATCCTGGAGCGCTATTATGAGTGCGGCATGATCAATCAGAGCAAGAGCTGCTTCCAGCTCATCCTGCAGTGTGCGCAAGAGACCAAACTCGACTTCAGCGTGGTTAGAGTAAGCCTGCTCGTTTTATTCATGTAACATTTCATTTCAGACGGTTTGAGCTGTTTATGTTGTTATTTAGTGGTCGACCGTCATCAGTGACTGATACCCATATCTAAAGGGCAGGATGATAATTAAATGAAAAATAACAGTGTATACTAACATACTTTTATGCTAATTCAGTTGACTAAAACATGTGAAAAATGTGCATTGCAAGTGATGACTGAGTGAGTGTGGTGATTGGCCAATACGGATATTTACAAAATGGCCAAACATAAAATAAAACGCAGAGAATTTGAAATCTTTATTCACTGATGCTCTGAAAATGGGTTTGAATAAAATGGCTTGCTAACTTTTTCTGTGTGTAATCTCTGCTGCCACGACAAAACCCTAAAACAACCCTAAAAATGAGCATTTGTACAGCTCAGATAATGCATTAAACTAAGTGCTTGAATAAAACAAGCTTTATATTTCCATTCACATCACTAAATTGTTCACTGCAAGTGTCTCAGCAGCAGCACATTGGATTTGAGAGCTACAGCAGAGAGGGACATCTTTTAGTGAACAATGACTTCAAAAGGAGTCTTTTAATCTGTGTTAATAGCTTAATGGTCGTCTATATACTAGTGTATTTCTAAACACTGACAGAAGATAAATATATCTTATAATGTAGATAATTTTGTGATAACGACAGGCTGGCTGTACATTCTCCTGCTTATTACATGGCGAATAATTATTGGGCACAAAGTATTGATTTGACTTTTTAGTAGCTTATTAATATTTTATTAGCTCACTTGTAACAGTTCCTAGAAAGTGGCTTTTAGTCAAGACGGGACAGACAAGTTCAAACTAGAAATACATATCAGCAATGGTACATTCACACGGGGCTTCAACGCCTTTGAATGGAGTGACATCAAGCATTGCAGAACTGGATTGTGGGTCCGTTGCGTCTCGTCACTGGCGTTGCTCACGGCAGAAGTGGAAAACTTTACAACTTTTCAAGCGTCAACGCAAGCATGAGCCAATCAGATGGCCTTATGCAAATATACTGACATCGATGGTGACGCCCTGTGTGAATAAGGTGTAAGGGATGATGTAAAGTCCTCCTGATTACTACATGGTTAGTCAGCAGTGTTGAGGAAGTTACTTTTAAAAGAAATGCATTGCAATTACTCCCTAAAAAAGTAACTAATTACGTTACTTAGTTACTTTTTATGGAAAGTAATGCGTTACGTTACTTTTGAGTTACTTTTTAAACCTGAGCAGGGCTTGCTTGTTTGTTTTTAATATAAAAAGTTATTCTTTTACAAATGTAAAAGCCCTTTCACACCAAAAGTTAAATGAATACGCTTAGGCTGAAGGAAATGTAAATTCACGTCTGTACAATAGAGGGCGCAGCATGAAGAATATGACGCAGGAGAAGAAAGTTCAACACTATTCAGCAATAACACAAATGAAACACAAATGTGTGTGTGAGATGAGTAAACACATGTTGATATTTAGTCTAGAACTACAGTAAGATCATGTTCACACACAACGCTCTGCACTTACTCCTGATTTCTGTCACCATGGCAACACCAGAGCTGTCACTCAATACATGGAAACAAAGTATCTGCTGTTACTGATTTGAAAAAAGTAACTCAGATATTTCCCTCTAAATTAAAAAGTAATGCGTTACTTTACTAGTTACTTAAAAAAAGTAATCTGATTATGTAACTCGCGTTACTTGTAATGAGTTACCCCCAACAATGTTAGTCAGTAAAAAAATAAAGGCCAAATAAGGAATTACATTGGCATGTTGATTTGAGTTTGAAATTGTTAAAAAAAATTATTTTATAGTTTCTGCTAAGGAAAGTATAATGTATTCAATCTGTTTGTCACGCAAAGCCTGTATTCTGATGATATGGGCTTATACTTTAATGGTTCTCTATACTCAAATTTTGAGTTTTTGAATTTTAGTTGTATAGAAAAAATCCTCCTTCTCTGATGAAATAGATCCAGTTCTTCAAAGCCGTCCTGATGGCAGTGCGTTTCTCTTCTTCTGTGGTTTCAGACATGGGTAGGAAACAAGCGTCGGAAGCTGGCGTCCAAGGCGGATCAGAACGGAGCCGGCGCTCAAGCGCTGTCCCATCAGCATGTTTCGTGCGGATCTGCCGGGGCGCTCGTCGCAGGCTCGGTGCTGACGGCTGAGATAGCGGCCATGCGGAGCATCCAGCGCGGCCCCCCGGTGACCCACCTCCTCCCTCCGCAGGCCTCGTCCTCCTCTTCATCTTCCTCCCCACTCAGCGACGTGATTCTGATGGGCATTTATGCCAACTGCTTCGATGCTACCGTTCACAACAGGACAGTGACGAAATCACTGCCCTCGCACGCAGAAATGGAGCCGCCCGCCGTGCAGCGGAAATCCCCCATCATCCCCGGCGGCTCCAGCGTGCTCAAGTGCAGCCAGACGCTCAAACCCTTCCCCTCCAGAGACGTCATCGCCCCCAGCTGGGAATCCCCTGCCTCAAGGTAAGGTGTCATGGTTAAACAGTGATTCAGTGCGTTTACTAGGGCTGTGAAAATAAATCGATGCATCGCGAGTCGAGAAATGATTCCGCATCGATTCTGAGATTTTCCGAATGCATCGCGATTCTTTCTCTAGACGATTCTGAGCATATTACTTACATACTTTAAAATTATGAGTTTATTTCACTTTGGATGTGAAATGTGAAAACAACATTGAGACTATATGTTTTAAATATTTGTTTAATAACATATTTTACTAAGTACTATGAATGAAGGCCAGAATCACTGATATTGATGCACCTATTAAATTGATTTTTTTTTTGTTTTTCAGTTTATGGGGATAAAATCAGTCATTATAGCCATTCAACAGTACAGTATAATTGAAAGCCAAATCTGTTTCACCATATATTAACAATTACAGAATATTAAAAAGTATTACAACAACTTAAAGTAAACTTAAAACAACGTTCACCTGAAACTATTATGTTAAAATGTCTCTGTTAATATTTTTTGAATGAGAGCTGTCAGTTCATTTGCACTTAAAGTTAATTTTGCATACTTTTTTTAACCGTAAATTAGTAATAAGTTACCAGTAGTTAAAGGGATAGTTCACTCAGACCTGTGTGAGTTTGTTTTTTTCTTTTGAACACAAAACAAGATTAAAAAAGCAAAACGTTTAAAACAATGTGGGTAACCAAACAGTTGATGTTCCTCGTTTACTTCCATAGTATTTTTTCATTACTAGGGAAGTCAATGGCTGCCAACTGTTTGGTCACAAACATTATTGTGTTCAACAGAAGAACGTTTGGAAAACTTGATGATGACAGAATTTTCAACTAGTGCTTTAAAGCAACTGTATGTAGTTATGTTTAGTATTTTTGAGTTTAATTCACTGTGACTTACACTACCGGTCAAAAGTTTGGGATCAGAACGAGTTTCTTCTGCTCATCAAGGCTGCATTTGTTTGATCAAAAATACAGGAAAAAATTTAATATTATGTAAAATAACGTTTTTCTATTTTAATATACATTAAAATCGAATTTATTTCTGTGATGCGCAGCTGTATTTTCAGCATCATTACTGCAGTCTTCAGTGTCACATGATCTTCAGAAATCAGTATAATATGCTGATTTATTATCAGAGCTGAAACTGTTGCTGCTTCATATTTTTTTGGAACCTGTGATACTTTTTTTCAGGATTCTTTGTTGAATAAAAAGTTAAAAAGAAGAGCATTTATTTAAAATAGAAGTCTTTTCTAACAATATACACTACCGTTCAAACGTTTGGGGTCAGTGCATTTTTATTCTTTCTTTTTAAAGAAATTAAAACTTTTATTCAGCAAGGATATGTTAAATTGTTAAGAAGTGATAGCAAATATTTATATTTTGAATAAATGCTGTTCTTTTTATTCTTCAAAGAATCCTGAAAAAAAAAGTATCACAGGTTCCAAAAAAAAAATAAAATATTGTGCAGCACAACTGTTGATAATTCTAATTTAAAAAAAAAATCAGCATATTAGAATGATTTCTGAAGATCATGAGACTGTCAGGGATCTGGAAGGAGGACCCAATTGCAGTGGGAGTAACAAGGGTTTGACAAAACAGATCAATACAAAAAAGTAGTGAGGTGCACAGGTGATACCACAACAGGAACACAATAAACAGAGATAGCTAGGGAAGGCCACTGGAACAGCCTCAGACATCAACTGGCAGAATACTATAGCAGCAGAGGAGGCGGCAAGACCAGGCCGGTGGAGAGACCAGAGCAAGGCACCAGAGAGCTGAGCTCAGATACTTATTGACCATAAACTCTGAAGCACCCCAGACACCAGGCAAGGGAACAGGTCAGGACAGGACCTCTAACACCACAAGACAAAACATAGCTGCACAGGAACAAATTACTCCAAGACAGGCAAGAGAATAAACAAAAAGGACTAATAAAAAAATAAAAATAAAAATTAAAAAAAATTAAATTAACCAACACAAATAACTAAAACATCAACCAAAAAATGAAAACAAAAGATCAGGACTAAGAACTAAATGAACACTAAAATAAAAGCAAAAAGACAAAAACAGACCACATCCAAAAACAAGGAGCAAGACAAGAACATAGAATTACAAGAGACAAGACTAGAGCACAAGATCAAACAGACAGGGAGACAGGAACACATAATCAGCCACAGACAGAGACACACACACACAGGGAAAGAATGACCAAGAACCAGCAAAGACAATAGGGCAAGGGGCACTATAAATAGGGAGGAAAACACACGATGAACAGGTGAGAGCAATTACACTAACAAGGACTCAATGAGGGCTAACAAGAGGGTGTGGTAATGAGGAAACCAGGAGGAAGGGCTAAAGAAGCACATGGCTGAGAAAAACGATCAACTAGGCCATGTGCTGACACAAGAAACAAAACACAAGACAACCAGAGTGTCAGGGCAAAACCCTGACACTAGCCCCCTCCCAACGGACGCCTCCTGGCGTCCAATTCTACCAAACAGTTCATAGTTGCCAGATTGAAAGTGCAGGCAGCAGTAGGAGGGGAGGGGGTGTGGGGGGGCTTGAAGTCAGAGTCATAAGCGATTAGAACTGGGCTGGAGCAGACTGTACAGGAACATCTTCAGAGGTCATGCCAGGGAGAGCAGTATACTCGGGGACAGCCTCCACAGGTGAAACATGACTAGCAGGAACATACTCTGAGGGACTCGTCAGAAGCAGCAGATAGCCAGTCTGGTATGATCTCAGTAGGCGTAACCTCACTAGCAGGAACATCCTCTGAGGGACTCGTCAGAAGCAGCAGATAGCCGGTCTGGTATGATCTCAGTGGGTGCCGCTTCACTAGCAGGAACAACCTCTGTGGGCTTAGAAAGACAGACAGGATCAATCTTCAAGGACGGGACAAAACTGACAGGACAGCCTCTTCAGGTGGAACACAACTAGCAGGAGCATCCTCTGAGGAACTCGTCAGAAACAGCCGAGAGCTGGTCTGGTATGATCTCAGTGGGTGTAACTTAACTAGCAGGAACAACCTCTGTGGGCTTTACAAGACAAACGGATACACATCTCCATGGCCATGACCCAACTGGCAAGGACGGCCTCCAAGGACATAACAGGACAGACAGGAACATTTTATATGGCCATAACTTGACAGGCAGGAACACCGTCTATGGCCATGACCCAACTGGCAGGAACGACCTCTGTAGGCGTGACAGGACAGGCAGGAACACTTTGTATGGCCTAGACATGACAGGTAGGAACAACATTTGAGGGCTTGACAAGACAGGAACAATCTCTATGGCCATGACCCAACTGGCGGCAACGACCTCTGTAAGCGTGACAGGACAGGCAGGAACACTTTGTATGGCCCAGACAGAATAGGTAGGGACAACCTCTGAAGGCATGACTTGACAGACAGGAATAGTCTCCATGAACTTGACTGGCAGGAACCACTTCTGTGGACTTGACACAACTGACAGGAACCACGTCTGTGACACTTTATACTGGAGTAATGATGATGGAAATTCAGCTTTGCATCACAGAAATAAATTATATTTTAAAGGATATTAAAATAGAAACCATTATTTTGTATTTTAATAACATTTTGCAAGATTACTGTTTTTTCTGTATTTTGATCAAATAAATGCAGCCTTGATGAGCAGAAGAGACTTCTTTAAAAAACATTACAAGTCTTACTGATCCCAAACTTTTGACCGGTAGTGTATAATTACAGTGGTTATCTGTATACATGCATTTGCTGCTGCCTTTACACAGAATTCGGTATCTGCTCACCGAACTGATAATATTCCCAGAACAGACATTTGGAGTGAGTGAGGGAAAGAAACACAAGCCATCCAGCTTATAAGAAGTCAGTGCACCATCTGTAACGATTCTGAAACAAGAAAAAAACCTTACATAGAGTTGCTTTAAAACATGTGGTCTCAGTATTTTATGAGTACCGATCACCTTTTGTCTGTACTTAATCACTGAGATGAGCACATTACTGACAGAATCAAAAACAGGCTGTGTCTTAATCTCTGAACAGGCTTTCCTTTGTGTTTCTTTAGGTGACGAGTGACGTGTCGGCTCCCTGGCTTCACAGTAACTCGCGGAAAAGAACGGTGAGTGCCTGAGATGTGCTGCGGCTCTTCTCTAGCGCATCAGAGATCACTTTACTGTCAGCTGCTGATGATGGCTTTAATGAAAGGTGTAGTGTGTATTAAGCTGCAGGACAGGACGCAGTTCAGCGACAGAGACGTGTACACGCTGAAGCGCTACTGGGATAAAGGCATGACCAGCCTGGGCTCTCTGTGCAAAGAGAAGATCTCAGCGGCAGCCTGCGAGCTCAGTGTGGACACCGAAATCATCAAGGTCAGGAGTCTGGACTCAAATCACAGTGTACTTCACTTTTTATACCTACACAGAATAATACAGTACAACGTATTGTTGTTTTGTATTTTTATCCCCTCGTTAAAAAACTTTCGTTATTCATAATTCATCATCCGACTATCGAACAGATGCAGCGTCACATCACAAAGCTTCAGACTTTTTTTGCATGAAAATAATGTCACACTATTATTTATTATTTTGCACAGAATATATCACACTAAAAAGATGATGACTCTCAATGGTATTCAGTCAAATTGTCTGCTTGTTGTAGTTTTTTGTTGAATGTGATTCTTCTGTTTAGATCTAAGAGTCATTCTGTAATTTAAGGGGACATGTTCATTGACGACAAGTATATGTGTCTAATGATTTCTTCACAAAAATCATATTTTGGGAATATTAAGGGAAAACATATCATAATCTCAAACAAATATTTTGTGCACCGTATGTTTCAGATTGCCTTGAATGTCTCTTAAATTACAACTTTTGAAAACACTGATGAAATATTATATCAACAGATATTACCGTAATTTTGAGAAAGCATGCTGTTTTTTTTTTGTTTTTGTTGTTGATGTGAAATGTAACCCCAATTGTAGAATTTGCACAAATTAATAGTAATAGCACACGGCATTAGTTAGTAAGTAATTAGTTACTGTAATTTAATTACTTTTCCCTTGAAAAAGTAAAGCAAGGGATTACTCTTATTTTTCTGTAATTTAATTACAGTTACTTCTTATGTAATTGAACATAATGCTGTATAGACTGTAGAACATTTATATATACAATACACAACAGCGGATTTAACATAAAAATGTAAAGTCTAACCTTAAAATGCATGCTTTTTTCACTTTAAATACTTTGTTGAGTTCAAAAGAATATTGGTAACACTTTAGTGTCCAGTTCTCACTATTAACTAGTTGGTAATTATCATGAATACTACTAGACATTGGCTGTTTATTATTACTTAAAAAAAAAAAAAAACATATTTATGTCTTATTCTGCAAGACCTTATAATTCCACAACTACTTTATTAAGTATTAATAAGCAGGAGTGTATCGAGGCAAAAGTTAATAGTTAGTTAATAGTGAGAAGTACTTTTTGGAAAGAGTAATTTGTACAGTGATCTAATTACACTGTTGAAGATGTAATTAGTAACTAGTAATTAATTACATTTTTAGAAGAGCTTACCCAGCACTGGTCAGATGTCAGTGTTTGCTGATTTGTAAATCGTAATCTAAACTACAATTCTACCAAATCTCATTTAGAGATTCTGAGTCTGAGTACAGTTCCAACCCTTTCCTCGTGATACTGCATAACCTTGTTTCTCAATCATACGACTTCTTACATGTATCTCACATTATTCTCAAAACCCATTGTTTTTATATAAAGCCATCTGAAACCTGTGTTTGACAGACGTGGATTGGTAACCGCAGAAGGAAGTACCGTTTGATGGGCATTGAAATTCCTCCGCCTAAAGGAGGGCCGGTCATGTTCCCAAATCATTCCCCTCTCATCCTTGAAGACGAGCGCCAGACTCCAGAGCTGGGAGAGGCCAGCGAACACAACGACCTCGGGTCACTCTGTTTGTCTGACGGTGGGGATGATTTTCATGCTGTTGATGCATGAGATCACTTACTGATTTTTAATTACATCAACACAGAAAACAGTATTGCTTTAAAGTGGTCATAGGATGCCCATTTTCCACAAGTTGATATGATTCTTTAGGGTCTTAATGAAAAGTCTGTAACATAGTTTGGTTAAAATTTCTCAATAGTAGTGTAAAAAACACCTTTTTTCTTCAGCGGCTCAGATGTCGGGAGTAAATGACGACTGCTGTTCATTATTACATCCAACAACAGAACACCTCAATCTCTTAGGAGTCATTCTTGTCTACGTCTGCTCCGGCGGTGAAACAATGGCGGACTGATGACAGTCACTCAGGGCGGAGCTAAAGTTAGACGCCAGTCCAGTCTGTGCTGAAACACTACTGTCAGTCAAACTATTGTGGGAGGGGCCTGTCAGTGTGACGTCACACAGACCGGCATCTGAGATCGGCTCGATTTGAGAAAGGGGAAAACATTTAACCAGATTAAAAAAAAACACTGGGTGGATTTTTATCATTATAGGGTGGTTGTGTACACACACTGCCAACACACATTTCAGTTGAAACAACTTGTAAAAGTGCTTGTAGCATCCTATGACCCCTTTAAGCCATTATGTCTAGTAATTGTACATTTGCCTTTTTTTTTTAAAGATGGAGCCAGTGATTTATATCTGAAAGAAAATGATGATGTAAACGATGAATCAGATGGTTCCACCCCTGCTAAACATGTGGTATGAGCACATATCCATCAACATAACCAAACAGTTTAACGGTTTAATGCTAACTCTGACTCAAACATGAAACTTTCTTCTAGAAGATTGAAATCGTTGACGAAGAAGAAGATGATGATGAGGGTGACATGTTGACCACTGAGATGGAACAGATGCAAAACCTCTTAGAGTTCAGGGTAAGCAGAGAGTCAAGAGCTGCATAAGAATGAATGGATAATGAAGAAGCCCACAATGACCAGGACAAATGGATCTGGCCCCATATGCTTTTGTTTTCAGAGAATCACTTGTGTTATGTTATTGCCATATAAAGAAACACTGCTCTTTGCCAACAGCTTAAAGGGATATTTCACCCAAATTGTCATTCAAAACCTGTATGCATTTCTTCTGCAGAAAACTCTAAAGAATATCATACGAGTTCGGTATGACATGAGGGGGAGTAGATGATGACAGAACTTTCATTTTGGGGTAGATTGTCTCTTTAATTACTCGTATCTCCTTTTACACCGTGTCCTATCCAGACTGCGACATTAAACACACAATACAAGTAACTTACCATGTTAGTCCGAGTGTTTGGAGAAATCACTTCATTGCTCAGATCCGTTACTGAGTTCCCAACCGGCTCCTTCACTGAACTGCGAGTCATTTTCCAGTTATGTTTGATTCAGAAATGAACCTGGAAACCATTACTGTAATGTAATACATACATTATGTATTTATGCATATTTACTGATTTGTTGTGTAATTACAGGTACATATTCACAACATGCCAGTGAGTTGTTAAAAGCTGAAGTAGGAAGATATGCACTCGTTGAGCTGAAGCACTTTATTGAGTGGTTCTACAGTTATCAACAACAACAACAACAAAGTTTTATTTTAGGCATCAATAGCTTCCTAGTCTTTTTTTTATCTGTAGCCCTGCCATATTTAGATTCTACTTTTTTAAAATAAGGCCAAGGTTTTACAAATGTATAATGACATTTATAGTGATGATTTTTGATAAGGGTACTCTAGACTATATGTATGCCAAATTTGATAACAGGTTCCAGGCGAATCCAGGAGTCATGCTAACAACAAGCGTGTCTTATGTCTTTCTTCTTCTTTTAATGGTGTTTTACATTCTTAATGCCACATGGTATATTTTTAAGTGTATCCTTTTTTTCTTTCCTCTTTCTCTGACACACGACACTGACACATAACTTAATGCAAAATGCATTTAAAAAGAAAGATTGGGGGAGAAAAGTCTATGCTGTCACTCTTTTACCTATTATTTACTCATAATGCAACTGTATGCAGTTTTGTGTATTTTTGCGACTGTGGAGCTCCCTAGAGTTAAGTGAGTTGAATTCACTGTCGTAAGGCAATTTACTGGTGTATCAGAATGTCATACCAACTCACCAAACTTTTTGTGGAATTGACCTATGGAGAAAAAAAAGTTTTGTTTTTTTTCTTGCATAAATGAAAATCTATTTGTCTGTTTAAATTTGGGTCACTGAAGGATTCAGAAGAAATAAAAAAGAATTGGTGCTCTCCTTGCAGTTCCAGTCCAAACCTAAATGACTTGTTTTCTTCTGTGGAACATGAAGACTGTGTAGGGACTCACTTTAATGCCTAATAAAGCACACGATAATGTCCATACAGCTCACTGATCATTTTATAGGTGTTCTGATCGGTGTTGGTGAAAAACAACCCAACCATCTAGCGCTTCACACTCAGGCACATTGATTCCATGCTTCTTCTGTCAGTGCACCAATGTAAAATGTGCCATTTCGTGCTTTATTGAGCTTTAATGTGAGTCATTGTAATGAATCCATCCAACTGGATATTCATTAAATTATCACATTTTGTGTTCTGTAGAAAGAAAGTCATTTGGGTTTGGATTGGAACTGCAAGGACAGGAACAGGAATTCTTTCACCTCTGAATCCTTCGCTGTCCCCAAATGCAGGCTTCATACTGGATCCAAATGACATGAGGGTGAGTAAACGATGACGGAAATTTTAGGTGAACTATTCCTTATGTTCTTAAGGTATTAGCTGCTATATACTTGCATATCTTTTTAAACCAAATTTTCTTCTCTTTAATAATAGACAAAGAGAAATAAGAAATGTTGGGGAACTGTAGTACAGCTGTGTAGCTGTAGTAAAGGTTAAACTTGTTTAACGGGTTCCCTTAAGTTAAACCACTTAATGGTTTTCATGCATCCAGGCCCAGAAGAGTGTTCAGTCCACTTCCTATGCTTCCTATGAAGCGTGTGTGAAAACACATCAATCTCATTGGCCATCGTGAAGTCATGTGATGTAGCATGGCGTGCCAGTGAAACCATAAAAGGGTGCCTACATCACAGATTGCCCAGCTTCTTTGTCTTAGGGAAGCTGATTGTCTGCTGCTCAGTTCATGTTTATGAGAAAGCTTAGAGCCTCACATTATTTTAACTACTGGTCTAAGTATAGGAGGTGTGTGATGCCGTGCCCATGCTTGATAGCGGGGGGCGACTCGCATGAGATGTGCGTTGTTTGTATGGGTGCGGAGCACACATGGTCAGTCCTCGAGGGGCTAAATGCATGAACTGCGAAAGCTTTACAGTGAAAAAAAGAGGGATCGCAGGCGTAACTTAGACTGGTCAAATGAGCATCAAGAGGTTGTGTCTGTTCTAAACTAGACGACTGCTTCCTCACCACCAGCCGAGCACAACCTCCCTGAGAAATATCCCGTTCTTACCACACAGAGTACTCGGCTCGCTTTTATACCACAGCAACCTCAAACTATTCTACGGTTGTGGGGCTTCGTGAGCATGGGCAGGGCTGGACTGGGGTTAAAATTCGGCCCTGGACAAATCCAGCCCATCTGGCCCACGAGTTCCCCCATGAATGTTTTGCTGGGTTATAGGGCCTTTAATTGGAGTAAATAATAATAGATATGACTGGATTCACGACAGATGCACCAAACTTGATAATGCATTTTTGTCACATAGAAATGCACTTGACAGTAAAGCATTGATTTTTGCTAATAAAAATTGCTAATAAATTCTGTCATCATTTCCTCACCCTCATGTCATTCCGTCATTTCCTCACCATTTTCATGTAATTTCTTCTGTAGAACACAAAAGATATTTTGTAGAACATTACCAAACCATTTTGGTTACCCTTGATTTCTACTGTATGGACAAAAAAAATTCTTGAATTTCTGAAATTATCTTCTTTTATGTTCCACAGAAGAACGAAATTCATAGGTTTGGAATGACACGATGTTGAGTAAATGACAATTTTAATTTTTGGTTGAACTATCCCTTTAAGAACTTATTTAATATTTAAGTAATAACAGTAACATTTATAATAAATACATCTCTATTGTACAGTGTTAATAACTGCAAGTTAAATTACTATGGTGCTGAATTTACAAGTCTATGTTTTGGCGTTTTCCAATTTACCTCGTCATGCAGTTTACATTGTCGTGGCTGTTTTCAGCCAGCATCACTACAGAACCTTTAATGTTCTCATGTCACACGACTGTATAACACTATTCTGTCTGACATCTGAATGGATCAAGCGACTTGCGCTGTTTGTCACATTGTGGCACGTTCGTCAGCGCTGTGCGAATGCATTGCGTAGCGCCGCTTCACACTTTTGGAGTATTTGCTTTTTGCAGTTTGCTGTCATTTAAAAACAGAGCCTAATGTGGGAGAGGTCTCATTCACTTCGGCGATCGGCCCACTGGGAATGTCCCAGTACTCCCGATGGCCAGTACATCCCTGAGCATGGGTATGAGGCGATGCAGAGGGTGGAACAGACTCTTGAGAGCTATCTCTCCCCCTCATCTGTGTGTCATAGTGGAGGAAACCTGCTCTACCTTCCAAGCTGTGTAGGGTTACATCTAGCTTGGTTGGCAAGGCATATGTATCCGCAGGTCATTCTGGTGCATCGCTCTACACCATGGGGGGGTTGCAGGCGTACTAAGCTGGCCTGCTCAAAGACATGGATTGTGGTGAGGGATTAGACCCAGAGGCAGTGCCACAGATCACACTCTTCGTGCCACCAAGTAGAGCCCTACCGCGGGACTGTTTTCTTAATCCCGCTTCCGCGATTTTTGTGTTCAGTCCCACCCGCTCCAGCAAACATTCTAATATTTCATAACATTTTTGTGCATCAGGGAGCCGCTATCAATATGCGGGTATTTAAATCGCTTTTGAATGAGCGCTAACTGTTCACTTTCATTTTCGATTTCGAAATCACGCGAACTTTGTGTAAAGGCAGCACATCTTACAAGATCAGGTATTTGTCAATGAGCTCAGGATCTGTTGTGCAGCAAATCCTCCACTATGGTTTTGTCAGTCATCTCTCCTTGCTCTCGACCCGTGATCAGTGAAATCTGACTCCTGCTGCTCATGTTGGATGCAGGGTTGTCAAGTCCAAGTTGGATGCAGTGTTTTTTTTTTCAAAATATTGGGTTGCTTTTAAACTGTTGCCATGGGTTGATTTTCCCAAGTGGGTTAAAGGTTTGAAATATTGCATAAATTATATTTGACTGAAAAGCTTGCATTGAAACATTTTGCATTCTACGTATGATAAAACTGCGCTAGATGTTAAGTTTTGTGAGGGAGGGCCACTGGTAGGAAGCTTTTTAGCTGTGTTTGTGATTAATGTACATAACAATGACTGTAAAATATGTATTTTAGGTATCTAAATGACATATTATGTGTTTTGATATTTGGGATTAGGCTACTTTGGGCTGTTTTTGACTGGCATGGGCTAGTTTTGTCACACAGACCTGGCAAACCTGGCTGTATGGAGCGGAGCAGAGCAGACACTTTCAGTTTAGTGTAGCGAACAATTTCCAGCTGAACTAAATGATTTCTATTTCTATAAAAAAGCAAAACGACAGTTGAGGGCAGTGCCACGGTGGGCAAGTAATGTAATCGGTGAACGACCAAACACTATGTAAACAGCTGTTTATGTAACTCCATCATTCTTGGTATGCGACTGCTAACCGTTAGTAGACCAGAAGTTTTTTTTTTAGTCGCTTAATCGCAGGAAAAAACAAAAACAAACTAGTGCGCTCACTGCAGGACAGATGAAGAGACGCTGCTACTTATTCCTAAAATACTCAGTCATTTTTGGTCATACAGATAAGAGTAATACATCTTTCGAATCTGTAAAGACTCTTTTTATTTGTGTGCGCTCACAATAACAACAAAACATTGTGCTTTTGTAAAATAATGAAAGCAAACAGGATGCGCTTTCTGCCGTCTCGGTCTCTGTGAACTTGAGCGTGAAACTCAGAAAGTGTATATTTGCCTTACAGACATGAAAAACATATCTATAGAGAGCGAAATGTCTACTTTCAATTGAACCAAATCAAATAGAAAACAAATATGCTCAGGTTATGTAATCAGTATGAAACATGCATACAGGCGCATCCTCTACTGCGAAGATGACGAGTCAGTGGCGATAACTTCATCTCCAAACCGAAAACGAAAAAAGCACTAGTTAATCAATACATTATTAAAATGTTAATGAAAAGAGCTGATCCCTCGCCGCATTCAGGAGCACGCGGCTTCCACCTGCTTCCACCGCACAGGGTCTCGCTCCCATCGCGAGGAGCAGAAGGCCAATGTGGCTTCTAGCGCTCCCCCTCGGAGAGATGAGGGTCGACCACCAAACAACATCTCAGCTGTCCAAAGGGGAAATATGATCTAAGGACCTGACGATGATGGGTGCAGCTCTCCGAGGTTATTCCTCCACCTCTGGTGCTTCGGGAAGTAGAAATACTCATCTTTGCTCATTAGCGATCTCTTAGTTCAGCATGTTTGGTCATATCGCTATACACCATGCAATCTGCAGAAAGAGAAAGCTGAAAAGGTTTCAAGGTTAAAGTGTTACAAATAAACCAAGCGTAAAGCTTGAGCTATTAGATTTTAACCTGGTAAAATGTAAATGACAGGGCACGAAACTATGTTTGTTTCTTTTTTTTATCCATTAAACTGGACCATAGAACAGGACTCTCAAAGCCTTGACATCATATCCAGGAGATAAGTCAGTAAATTCGAGTAAAATCACAGGCTTCGCTTATCCCATGCGAATGTGCCACACGAAATACAGATGTCGGGGCTAATTTCCAAATCATACGAGGTCCTCAGATCATACTAATCCTGTGCGAATAGGGCTTTAGTCACATTTATACACGGTCATGGTTACCTACCACCTACTAAATCTATGTGTTTGCCTGTAAAACCTTAATATCACATTATTTTAAACTTTCAGACAGCTTTATTTATCCACTGAGACTAACTTATTTATTGTCGAAAGGACAATATTTGAAATATTGTGGAACAGTTGTTTAAATATGAATAATTTGCCTCCTCAGAATGAAGAAGTGCAGTTTCTTGAGAATGAGCTGCGGAGCCAGAAGCAGAAGTTCTCAAAGCTGAAGAGCTTCACCAAAAGCCTGCTGATCGCTGTGAGAAACAAAGACAGAAAGAAACAGCAGGTGAGGAAACTCAAGCAGATGAAGCTTTCAGACGAGCAGAGGAAGAAATCGGATCGTAATCGGTGCGTTTGTCTGTTGTCAGGAGCTGTTAGCCAGTCTACCTCAGAAAGTGAATGAGGACTGGGACCTGGGCCTGGAAAACCACCGCGAGTCTGGCGCAGAGATGCCCACCATCCAGAAAGAGTCCTCTGTATCAGAGGAGGAGGAGGACATGGATCAGATGAGACTATAAACGCAGTTCTGTTCCTCACACACGCCACATAGTGCCTGTGGAAACCAACCAATAACTGTTGGGCCAAACCAGTCATTTTCTACAGCATACGTCATATCAGACTGCCCTGGCCGGGTCCGGTACTATCAAATAAATGCCACTAAGTCAACACAAGATTGTCTCTTCTCATTTTTATGACATCTGTAAGCATGAAACGCACTGATTAGGATTATAATTAAGCAGGTTTACACACATCGGCACATCTGTGGACACATGGTGGCAGGTAGTGATGAGAGAAACAAAGCTTCATTTGAACCAATTAATTCAAAATGATTGACTTCGTTGAAGTGCTCAAAACGCCATGCGCCGGGGACACCTAAAAAACTAATAGCTAAATTTTTAAAGTGCAATCTATTAAATGTAGTGCTGTCAAACGATTAATCGCGATTAATCGCATCCAAAAAAAAAGTTTTTGTTTACATAATATATGCGCGTATACTGTGTATATTTATTATGTGTATATATAAATACATACATACAGTATATATTTAGAAAATATTTCCATGTATATATTTATATTCATATAATTGATATTATATAGAAATATCTTAAATGTATAAACAACATTTTTCTGAAATATATGCATGCATGTGTGTGTATATATATATATATATATATATATAATGTGTGTGTAAACAAAAACTTTTATTTTGGATGCGATTAATCGCGATTAATCGTCGGACAGCACTAATTAAATGCAATTAACAAATCATCTAATGAATATGAAGTGTCTGTATAATGTGTTTATTTCATTTTGTAGGGCTTGTTTTGTTTATGGTTAATCAGGCCATAAGAGACTATTAACTCCAACTATTAATTTTCATTATACAAATGTGTCAACTATATAAAAAGATCAGCTAAAAAAACAACATATTTTAGACTGGTTCATTGAGATCGACCCCTATTTTGCATAATAGGTGCCCTTTAATATAAGAAAGCTTCAATTATTGAGATCGCTTTGGCAGTTTCATACATGCTCTGAATCTCTGGTTTGTAACAAATGATTTGCAAAGGTTTCAAAGCTTCACAAAGCAGTGTTTGGATCACAGCGGTGCTGATATTCACAACGACAGCATGACTCCACCAGCAAGTAACTTCAGTTGGTTCGCATGCTTGTTCTCTGTCAATGAAAACATTTGCAAAGAAATCAAAGCGTCAAACTGTGTGTCAGCAAACCTCACACAGACCGAAAGCCAAACTCATGGTTTAAAATATTTATTTTATTTTTTATTTATTATTATGCTCCAAACACTGTAAGAAATCGAAGTGTGTGTTTACTGCAGTAGTTGTCAGGTGGCGCTATTCAGCATAATCTCTAGGCAGCAGCAGCAGCCACGAAGAAGAGGAAGCGCGTACTTCCGGTTCTGTAATGAAGATGGCGACAGTGAGATGCAGAGAGTAAATAAATGAAAACATTTTTCTCTCACTGTGTCAGAAATAACAATTTTTATTCAGACTCTGCGACAAAATGATGAACCGAACGGCGTATTTCTACGACCCAGACGTGGGGAACTTTCACTACGGTAAGAGTGAACTGTGTCTGTTAGCAGAAGCGGCTAATCAGTGTTTACAGTTAGAAACCACAGACATCAGCACACAGTATTACTTTCAACACACAGTAGGCACATCTGTGCACTGTACAGTAGAAATGATCATTTTCATGAACAAATATGTGCGGCCAGTGTATAAATGACCGGCTGCTGAGACAGACTCATTCAAAACTACCCCCGCGATTTCACTTCAAGCGTGTCAACATTTTCGGAAATGCTTTTTTTTAAATTTTTTTATAAAAATGTGGTTTGGGTTCATTTTGTTGTTATTGGAGAGAAAATGAAATTCAACAGGTTATTGTTATATATAGCCTTGGACGACTGTTTTTTTTTTTTTTTTACTTTAAAGTTAAGATGTGCAATGCTTAGTACATAGTATACTGTTGTGTCTAGTAGGAAATTGAATATATGTGACCCTGCAGCACAAAAGCAGTGTTAAGTCGCTGGGGTATATTTGTAGCAATAGCCAACAATACATTGTATGGGTCAAAATTATACATTTTTCTTTTATGCCAAAAATCATTAGGATATTAAGTAAAGATCATGTTCCATGAAGATATTTAGTACATTTCCTACCGTAAATATATCAACTTAATTTTTGATTAGTAATATGCATTGCTAAGAACTTCATTTGGACAACTTTAAAGATGATTTTCTCAATATTTAGATTTTTTTTGCACCCTCAGATTCCAGATTTTCAAATATTGTCCTATCCTAACAAACCATACATCAATGGAAAGCGTATTTATTCAGCTTTCAGATGATGTATACATCTCAATTAAAAAAAAATGGACCCTTATGACTGGTTTTGTGCTCCAGGGTCACATATTGTTTGTAAAGAGGCACCTCATGTAAGATGCCATTCATGAAAGAGTTTGATAAATCCTAATAGACCAGACCACCACAGCTAGGCAGCACCATCAGGTATCAGTGTGATATTTGGGGACAGAACATTTATTTGATTAGATTGTTTCCTGCAGGTGCTGGGCACCCGATGAAGCCTCACCGGCTGTCTCTCACACACAGTCTTGTGCTGCATTATGGGCTCTACAAGAAGATGATGGTATGCTCGGTCTGTTTAGTCCAATCACTTCACTGACTCCAGGTCCTGATGAGCAGAGCTCTCTGTGCAGGTGTTCAAGCCGTACAAGGCGTCCCAGCACGACATGTGCCGCTTCCACTCGGAGGATTACATCGACTTCCTGCAGAAGGTCAGTCCAAACAACATGCAGGGCTTCACCAAGAGCCTCAACGCCTTCAACGTCGGAGACGACTGGTCAGTTTCCTTATCTTGATCAAAATCATTCAAATATTGGCAGAAGGTTTTAAGTGATGTTTACATGAATGCTAATGAAAGCAAGTAGCAGCTCTTTTTGATTTGAGATGTAGTTCTGCATTTTAAATGTTTTTCTAAGCGTTGGTCCCTTTTTTGTGTTCCCAGTCCCGTCTTTCCAGGTCTGTTTGAGTTTTGTTCGAGATACACGGGTGCCTCTTTGCAAGGAGCGACTCAGTTAAATCACAAGGTCAGATGCTGGAGATGTTGCAGATGCTTTGCACAAAATCATAAAGCATACGATTTTGAACCTGAAAATTAATTTTTGCTTCCTGAAAATAATGCATTTGGTATGTGATATGTAGGCGTTGAAAGACTATTTTTAACTTAAAAAAATAAGATTTGTAAATAAAAATGAAACTTGAAACATAGGAAATGTTTTGAACTCTGAATGAATTCATGAATTGTTTTTGATGATTAATTTGTTCATTGCATAGATATGTGACATTGCCATAAACTGGGCTGGAGGTTTACATCACGCAAAAAAGTTTGAGGTAAGCCGTTTTAAAAAAAATTTCAGATTAATACAAAGATGAAGCACATCAGGTGCCTATAAAGCTTCTATATTACTTGTTTTTCTGTTTTCAGGCGTCTGGATTTTGCTACGTGAATGATATCGTCATCAGTATTCTTGAACTTTTGAAGTAAGTGGGAGATGGACAGGAAGTGACATCACTCTTTTTATAAAATGCATCATTCAAAGTGACATAGAAATAACATTTATGAATGTATATGGGGAAACTTACCATTGCAGATGACTTTTTAGCTGATTTGGAATTAACTAGTATAGTGGGTGTGCTGCAAATGAATGAATAAAAATACTCTCAATTAAAGGGGAAGTGTGTCATTTCTGCACTACTATGAGTATCAAATGCAGCTGCTACTGGTTTGTTTTATAGAGAATAGGGTAGACTTAATAACATTTCCTCACCCAATGGCACGAGTTTGGGTGCATGTTTTGCATGAAACTTGTTCGACAACAGTGATTGTATTTCTGCAATTTTTTTGTTTGGTGATGACACACTTTAAATATGACCTTCTAAAAGCTGCTTGCATAGCTACATATAATTAGCAGGACACGTCAGCTACAACTTACTTCTGTCTGATAGGTATCATCCACGCGTGCTCTACGTTGACATTGATATTCATCACGGTGATGGCGTTCAGGAAGCATTTTATCTCACAGACAGAGTCATGACCGTATCCTTCCACAAATACGGGAACTACTTTTTCCCAGGAACTGGTATGTTGTTCTTATACAGTCATTTATAGAGTTGTAGCTGTTCCTAGGACATGCCAATGAAAGCAGGCTTGTTATTGTTCTGTTGTAGTAACAGCAGGTGTTTGTGTTGTTGATGTAAAGGTGACATGTATGAGGTGGGAGCTGAGAGCGGCCGCTACTACTGTCTGAATGTGCCGCTGCGAGACGGGATAGATGACCAGAGTGAGCTGATTTATCCTCTAATATATGAGTCTTCATGCAGTTACACTTAGAAATGTGCAAAAGCATGGTTATCATGTAACTGGAATTGTAAAGCCATACAATGCTGTGTTACTGGGTGACACACAGACAAAGATATCAGTTTAACCACATTAAGTTACCTGCTGGTACTGTATTGGGCAGATAGTAAAGAAAAAGCAGCTTTATGGCAAACATGGGAGCTGCTGTTACTGTAAAATGAAAACATCCCAGGGTGCACCAGTATGTTGAGAGAATATCTGAGGGGGTATTAAGTAGCTTTAGCCCTGTAAGTTGAAGTAAACCGAACTTTGAGGTTATGTAAGATATTCTGTGAACATGACCTGCTCTAGAACAGTGTAAATATTCAGGGTTTCTTCAGGTCTTTGAAAGACCTTAAAAAATTAAATTTTCACAATTTAAGGTTTGAGCATTAAGTCAAGGCATTAAAGTTTTCATGCACAGCAAAAAAAAAAAAATATCTTTCTCAGTATTTTTGTTTTCCAATACAAATATCTAAAAATGCCTAAATCAACATACATTTACTTTAGATGCAAATGTAAAATGAAGTCTTGAAACATTGAACAAAGTTGAGGTTATGCTTAAAACAAGAACAAATTTGTGAGCCTGGAGCACAAAAGCAGTGTTAAGTCGCTGGGGTATATTTGTAGCAATAGCCAACAATACATTGTATGAGTCAAAATTATCCATTTCTCTTTTATGCCAAAAATCATTAGGATATATCAAAACTTCATTTTTGATT